ATATTAGTGTGCCATAGTTCAAAATCAATGTTCATAAACAATTCTTAATTCAAATCATGATTCTTTGTAAATGGAGATTCATTCCGGAGAATCGAATAGAAAACAAGGATTCATGTGGCTAATCCACTCATTTTGAATTCTCAAATGAGGTTAGGTCAATCCCACATCGAGTTTCGGGGTCAAAACAGGGTTTTCTGGGCTGTTTAGGGCCAGTTTTAGTGGGAACCGGTCGACCGGTGACAGAGGGGTCCAACTCCACCGGTTAGCCGGTGGAAAGGTGACCGGTCGACCGGATCGGTCGACCAAAGGAAGGGTGACCGGTCGACCGGACCGGTCAACCGGTGGGGAAGAATTTCCAGTGCCAACAATGGCCGATTCGCGAAGAACAAAGCCAAAACCTGAAATTTTGGGTCCGATTTCGACATATTCTCAAGGGAAATGTATAGATCCAGTTTCAAATCAACAAATGGGGTCCAAAGAATCAAAAACCCCCAATTTTCATCAAGGTTTCACCAAATCCCATTTGGATTTCATTTAAAAACATGATTTAAACTAAAAATCACCAAACTCGACTAAAACGAGTTCCACAAAGCTAAATCTGAAAATCTAAAGTAAGTTTCAAAGAGTTTTACCTCGATCCAAGCTTTGATATTGAAAACCTCTTGGAAACCTCCGTTTTTCTTCAAATCCGGTTCAAGAACATTTTTGAGAGAGAGAGAGAGAGAGGAAAAACTTGAAAGAAAGAGAGAGGAAGAGATGGGCGAGAGAGAAAGAGAGAGAGAGCTCAGTGAGGGAGAGAGAGAGAGTGACTAAGAGAGAGTGTGAGTGAGTGAGAGGGTTACGGGAGAGGAGGGAAAAAGGAAAAGAAAGAAAGAAAAGAAAAGAAGAAAAGGAAAATAAAATGAGGAAAAGAAATAATAAAGAAAGACAAATAAAAATAAAGAGGGGTGAAATTGTAAATACTAAAATAAATTTTAAAAGCTCATGATTAATTAAGAAAATCAATTTAGGCACACTAATAAACCACAATTATCATAATTAAACAAGTTTAATTCCGGAGGGCATTACAAACTCAAGTTAATGAACAATATTTTTTCTATTCTTAAAAACGTTATAATTTTTTCGTTTGAATTCCGATTGAGATGATTTTTTATGCGTTTACAATGAAAAGACGAATAAAATCTCACCCATATACCCTATTAAAACTTTTCATCATCATTGAATTTTTATTAATATACTATTTAAATACAAGCTCAAGTTTTAACGCACCCTAACACAAACTCAAAAAGATTATCATCTCAAACTATAACTTAAATATATACAATGAAACACAAACTCAAATTACAATTTCAACTCAAATTATAACATAAATTTTACTTAAAATCTACACTCAAATTATCATAACTTAAAAATATAACTGAACAAGCTCTTAAAAGCTTCGATCATTGACGATGTCAAAGAAGCTATGTCTCAAGTTATTAGTGGTTTTGTTTGCTACATTCCCCGACAAGAGAATACTGTACCCAATTGTTTGGCTAGCTTTACTTGTATGCAGTTTCGAGATTTTTTTGAGTTAATTTTCGGCCAGACTTTATTGGCTCTTTTGTACTTGTTGATTTAGCATTTGAGTAATAAAGTCTACTTTTATTTCAAAAAAATAAAATAAAATTTATACTTTTTTTGTTTGTTTTAAGCATAACACTTAATTTGTGGTAGGTTAATTGATTAACTTAAATGTGAACATCAGTTGTCTTGTTGATCCAAAAAAAAAGAAAAAAAAATTGTAAAGATATAATTATATACTTATTTATAAGCTCAAAATAAAGGTATAAACTAATTAAATAACCATTTCTCTGTCTTCTTCTCGGTGGCATACCTACGTTGAATTTGTTTAGGATATTTCCATTTACAGATACATGTGAACTGCTCTACTGTGGCTAATCCTAAAATCAAAAACTTCATATTAATTTCTAAAACGTGAATAACTACTTTCTTGACATGTTATAGGACCAATATATTAGTATGTTAGATTTTTTAACTGTTAAATTTGCATAAAATTATGTAAAAATTAAAAAAATATACATATTTAGCAGTTAAAAAAACCTGACCTACTAATACATCAGTGTACCAGAGAATCTCCCCTTATTATAACTTCGGTAACAAAATTTTATAAATAATTAATTAACTTTGGTATTCTAGTTTGTATATACATGAATGTATGTACAGTATATGCATATATATATATATATTTGTTTACTATAAATGTATGTATATAGAATTTTGCTATTTAACTCCTCTATGGGTAAAGATATTGCGGAGCCCACTCCATATACCTGCAGTGCTAGCCTGCTTGAGTGGAGTCGTACAACATTTTTTATGTGTATGTGTAGATGGCAATCTTCAGTACTGTGAGACCACAAAAGACTCAACTTTTGATCATTGAATTAATTTTTCAACGGTTAAATTTATAATATGAGCAGTTTTATATTAAGTGTTATAAATTTTTAATATTAATTTATATATATCTAATTATTAAAAAATTAATCCAAAAATGTGAGAATTTCACCGTTAGTGTTTTTTTTTAGAGTTTCATGGTGGAGATTGCTGCCGTAAAACATATAGATTTTGATCATTTTGAGTAAACATCTATTTTTTTTTTTTTTGATAAGCATGGTGGCCAATAAAAATGTGCTAGAATGACTATCATTTTTATTGTTCTTTATAAAAAGTAGTTATTTTTTTATTGTTCTGCAATCATTTTACAAATAAAATTTTTAAAAAAATTATTTTATTAATAAAATTTTTCTATTAAATCATTTTTACAAAGGTCTCGTCAATTATTGAGTTACACATAAGGAAAAAGTGACCCCAAGGGCCTAATATTTTACTGTGTTTTCTAGATAATATTTTACCGTGTGTTACTGCATCGATTTATGACGCCTTTTTTCCCTTTGTGGGTCAACAATTTAGAATTTATGTGAAAAAATAATAAAAAAAAAAATAATAAGGGAGATTTTTTAGTACGACAAATAATAAGTCATATTTTTTTAAGTGTTAAATTTATATATTTTTTTATTTTTATGTGATTTTATAAAGATTTAACGAACAAAAAATTTAACTTATCAATATATTAACGTATAAAAAAATCCCAATAATAAATAAATAATTGACGAGTGTATGCAATAATATAAGAATAAAGAAAATCATGATTAGCGAAAAATAAAATTGAAAAAAAAAAAGAGGCGCCTTCAAATGATTGTGTTTTGGATAAATGAGGACTACGGTTGATATAATTTGAAGATTTCGTCAAAATTCAAATGATTACTTCCTACACGTTTTTTATGACAAGATCTGGTCCTCCCATCGTACTTAACGAGTAAGCACAAAATTAATGGGTTTAATCCTCCAATTAGATGTCCCAAACTTCCTCAACTTTATTTAATTAAAAAAGTTACAATTTAGGACTCGTTTAATTTATTGATTCGAGTTGAGATGTGACTTTATATGAGAATTTTTACTATAACAAAAAAGTTAAATGTAGTTATTTCTGAGAACTTTTTACTGTAACAAAACTCAAATTCTAAATTCAAATCGGTAAAATAAACAGTCTTAGGGCCTGTTTAGTTCACTGATTCGAATTGAGATGTGACTTTATGTGAGAGCTTTTTACTGTAGCAAAAAAGTTAGATGTGACTGTTTTTAAGAATTTTTTACTGTAACAAAACTCAAATTCTAAACTCGAATCAACGAAATAAACAGGACTTTAATGATACTAATTAACTCAAACTCTCCGCCTCCACTTTCACTTTCGACACGTCCTAAGTTATCTCCTTTCTCATTATTATTGTTTTAATCAACACGTGATGAATAATATAATTCAGCACGTGGTAAACATGAGTGGGTAGTCGATTGTATTTAAAAAAAAAAAAAAAAAAAAATCGATTGTATTTCTTTATGCTTTTTCTTTTTTGGTCCGATATTTCTTTATGCTTATTACATCGTCATATCATGTATGGAGAGAGAAGAAGAAAAAAAAAACACATGCTTAATTACACGTGGCGTCACACGTGGGCCCTCTTGAGTACCCAATTATGCGACGCGCTCCCTTTAGTCCGTACTAGAAGTTTGGGAGTGGGAGTGGTAGTGGGAGTGGGACCCACCTGCTTCTTTCCAGGGGTTTGCCTCTTACTCGTCATCTTTTTTAAGGTCAGTGGAGTTGCCACGTGTGGGCCCCAATCAACACTTCCTCCAGCAGCCAAACATTCCCGATCCAAACCCGCAGCAAAGTTTCCCAGACATAGGATTTTCCAAAATTGGCATACATAGAAATAGACAACAGTTCTTTATAGTAATACTTACATTTATTTATTTATATCAAAATAATAATAAAAACAAAATACTTCATTAATTTCATTGAGCAAAATTATTGGTTAAAATTGCAACAATTAATTTGTGATTTTTTCACTAAAACTTCATCACAATCTCTAAACTTATGCAAAAAAAATCAAAATAAAAAGAAAAAATATACAATATATATTGAAGTGAATAATAAGGAGCTCCAAGAACTAATTGAATTCAAGAATAATTAAAAATCCCAGAGCCGTTGCCGGAGTCTGAAGAATGATCACCGGAAAAATCCATCAACCACTTATGAATATCCTCGTCCCAGAAATCACTACTACTCTGAAGATCTTTCTCAATATCCATCGAATCAAACCTTATATGATCATCCGCATGAGCCGACATTAATCCGCTGCTACTCGGATTCTCTGAACTTTCCTGCTCCTGCGCCGCCGGCATCGCCGCGTGTAGGCGAACTTCTTCTGCAGTGTTGATCGACGAAGTACTAGCATTAATCGCATTGCTCTGGACGTTGGTCCTCAAGGAGGTGTCCGGGAAGGGGAAGTTGAGCTTGGCCCGTGGGCCGCGGAAATCAATGGCGGCCTTGTCGTAGGCCCTGGCCGCCTCCTCGGCCGTGTTGAACGTCCCGAGCCAGACCCGAGTGGCCCGCCTCGGGTCCCGAATCTCCGCAGCCCATTTCCCCCACGGCCTCTGTCTCACTCCTCTGTAATTCTTCTTCCCCATTCTCTTCCTTGGAGCAGGCCTACTATTACTACTACCACTGCTGATGTGATTATTATTATTATTTGCATTAATCATCGTCATTTCGTTGTGATTTTGTGGAGAAGATGAAATTGGCGAGAAAAGTTTGCACCCCAAGCACCTTTCGATGTCAAGCCCACACACTTGACACGTGTCCAAATCCTCGGCGCGGAACTGATTATTATTGTCACCGCCGCTGATCATGGCGTCGGCGAAGAGAGGGAATTGGAGGAATTCGGGGGCTGCGGAGGCGGAATCGTTACCGGAGACGATGTTACGGAGGGTGGAGACCATGATGGAGAACTCCTGATCGTGCGTGAGGAGGCGGCGGGTGGCCGGCGGCGCAGGAGGAGGAGGAGGAGGATAAGAGGCGGAGAATGGCGGCGGAGGAGATTCCGATAGATTCTGTCTCTTGGGCGACATTTGCATGTACTTTGTTGTTCGGTTTTTTCAGTTGGGGATGATTGTTGTGAAGTTGATTTGTTTTTGTATTTGTGTTGACTCAAAAATGAGGAGGGAGAAAGAGAGAGAGGAGTTTATATATATAGACGCGTTTGAAACGATGGTGACGTGGCGAGACAGGCTGTACGCAGAACGCACACGGCGTACTAGAGGCACGTGGGGAAGATATTGAATTTTTTTTTTATTTTTGTTTATTTTTGAACGAACGAGTAATCAATTGTGGTGGTGGGACCCATGGAGGGGGCAAGAGAGGGGATTACGTGGCCGGCGGGTGGTGTCCACTCTTGAACTTTAAAGGCCAGAGCTGAAGCTTCGTGGTCTGTGGCTTGTGTGAGTGGGAAGCTCACTACGGTTAGAATTTTTGGGGTTATTTTTGTAATTTTAACACATCTGTTGTCTTTTATTTATTTTTTAAATTTATATATATCCCTTTCCTGTTTATTGGCAGTTACAGTTAGAGCGGCTGCCACGTCATTGTCGGAGCTGATTTCATGAGCTACGTCATCTACTGTTTTTGTAAAGCTGGAGCATGTCGTCTTGCTACGCCCTATCGTCATTTTTTTTTTAATTTTAAAAAATATTACAACAGACATGTTTTCTTATTACAACAGATGTAATTTCTTAAGCAATAACTTATTGCTTAAGAAATTACAGAAACTATAAATATTTGTTGTAATATAACTTGATATCTTATTTTGATATTTTAAAATATAATAAATATAAAAAGATACATAAATAATGTTAGTAAAAAAATAATACGTAATTACCTTTACAAAATTGATATTTTTATCGATATTTATTGAAATTTTCTCAAAAATTTATGAAAGTTCTTTGATATTTTTGAAATTTTTGCTAAAATTTCAGAATTTCTAAAGAATTTTTCGTAAATTTTGATAAATATCAGAAAAATTCGTTTACATCTAAAATATTTTGACACCTTAAATTACAAAAATTTATGTGAAAATTTTAGAAATGTCAAAGAAATTTTTGTCCATGCTTAAGAGCAATAACTTTTTATGCACATTTATTTATTTTCCTTTATTTTTTGTAGGATTTAATGTTTAAAACTACACTAGCTAGGTTAGGGTTTGAAATACAAGAATTTGTTATATGATCAGAAATTGTCTATCAATTTGACTTAGATATATACGAGAGTGGGGGCTTAGTTATCCCTGACTAAGTCATGGTCATGTATTTAATTAGGAAAAAAAAAGTCATTGTCATGTGGTTGTATCCATATAAATATTGTTCATATAGTCAGAAGATTTGCGTTTTGGGTTTTTGTGACATTAGTTTATTATGCACATGAAACATGACATTATGGGTCGTGCAAGTTCTTTGAAGATGTCATAAATTAAGGCTTTTAATTATAAACTCATTTAAATGAAACTTAGAGATATTTTATGTTATATAACCGTTGACTTAGTCTAATGGTAATTTTACATCTAATTTAACGTTTAATTTTTGAAACCCTAATCCTAAAATAAAAAAAAAGATTATTAGTCTACTTTTCTTGTTTAAGAGAAATTTAAACGAACGTAATAACGCCTATCATACATTTGGACCACATGAATCAAATATACTTTTTCCATGCTTGAATCTTTGTCAACTACCTTTTTTTTTTTTTTTTTTTTTTTTTTTTTTTTTTTTTTTTCTTTTGGAAACTCCCACTCCCTTTTTTTTTTTTTTTTTTTTTTTTTTCTTTCTTTCTCTCTTCTTGAACTATCAAGTACGTTTAGTTTATTAGTTATAATCGCAGTCCTATATCCAGCAAAAAATAAAAGCTAATTAAAATTAATTTGGAGTTTGAACTATCTTAGTACATTAATTGATCTAAAAATTCGGTCTCTTGAATTTCAACTGCGACCACCATACTTCTAGCATTTACTTACGTACTTGTTTACCATGATTTTAAAAAAAAAAAAAAAAAAATTAAAATCCACATAATTTCTGGTCCAACCTTTGTCCGTTTATTCAAAGAAAAAGTCCAACTTTATGATAATTCAAATAACAGATCAGCAGCAGCTGTCAATGGAACTCCATATGTAGGCCGATTTGTATATACACGTGGTTTTGGTGTGTACATATATTAACCAAAAATAGAATGTACAGAACATTGGATGTTATGTATGAAAGCCTGGGACCAATCACTATCCAGAAAAAAGTTCAATACAGCCAGACATTTGTAATGTCAAAGCCTATAGAAAACAAGTACCACGGTCTTCCAAATAAATAGTTGACCACATCAACGATGTCTACCTGGTTTTGGCTGGCCGTTGATCATCATCTGATAGTCATAATGGACGGTGGTTTTCGGCCGTTTTTCACAGCCCAACCTGGTGGTCCCTACCCGACCCGGACCCGTATGTTCATGAATCCGAATCTTCATTTTTGTTCTTATTCTCCCTAGATAATGTAAAACTGTTTTAACCTTTTGTTTTCCCTTTTTAAAAAGAAAATTCTATTCTCTAGCAATCACTCGAATATTGGGTTCCACCCTTTGCCAAAAATAAATAAATAAATAAATTTGTTGGATTTTACATATGAAACCAAACAATGTTAAAGACATGAATTTGGACAATTGATCCAGGAGCTTAAGAAACGTGTATTTTTTTTTGTTTCAAGAGAAAATCATGAATCAAAATTATGTTGAAAATTCTATCACCTGCTTTGTTATAATCAAGCAATAAAGCAAGTCTTATTCAATATTTTTTTGGTTGCAATATTATTTTGATTAATTTATATATTTGCATGCCAGGTGCATGATAGTACCCCTAATACTATTAATATCCAATGAATTTAAGGGCTTATAAGTTCTAACTACTTCGAAGGTACTAAAGTGAAAAAGTAGATACCGTATTTAACGTTTCTTACATTTTTGGCATTAATTCCTTGGGGAAAAAAGCCAAGAGCTTTCCACTTAAAAAAATAAAAATGTCAGACATAATTATTTCAACAGAATGTCATATAGATCGTTGAGCGGTAGAACCTGGGTAGCATTGAGAGATTCAAGTTGACCTATAAAGACCGAAGTAAATATAAAAAGGTTGACCTATATGGCTTTGTCAATATAATTGGTACATTCATCTACAAAAGAAAATTGTTCAATTCCCCGCAATCCACATTTGGAAAGGATTAGCTGTGGCTTAACCAATTGGTAAATGATATAAAAAGTAGAAGGAAAAAAAAAAGGCTAATTTTTAGCCTTAATCAATTGTTATATGGTATTAAAAAGGTGGAAGGAAAAAAAAGACATTTGATTTTATTAGGGTGCTTTTTGCTTATTATATTTGTTATTTGGGATGTGACGGCACGCCGATCAAGGTTTTATTTTTCAACTACAGTGTCTGGTGTTGTTAGCTGATTTTCTGATATGTTTCTTATGGGCTTGAAATTTGCAAGCATTTGAAAAACACTTTTTTAATGGACTCAGATACTTGCAAATGAGGTAAAGTGGCACATTATGTGAAATTTTGACGTTAATATATATTTGACGTTACTTGGTTCAGATTTCAGAATCTTATTATTAGCAATCACCCTCTAGAAACCGAGTTTGCCTACTCTGGACCGCACTTTCATCAAACACAACTTGTTTGATGTGGGAATTTGTCGGCTATGATGTTGACATTTCATATTTACATAGAAAATTATTATCTCAAAACGAGAGAGAGAGAGAGAGAGAGAGAGAGAGAGAGAGAGAGAGAGAGTGTGAATTGGGTACACATCAAAATTCTCTTTTATTTACTCGTTTAAGAATTGGAGATGTTACAAACGTACCACTTGACATTAAGAGCCAGGCATACACCAGTTTCTCCATTTTAATTTGTCTCCTTCGATGGGATTCATATCGTCCACGCTAAGAAAGGATTGGACGTTGGAGATTATTTTTTGGTCTCTCCTGATTTGATAATTTCAAGGGAGATCCTGATTACAGCAAAAAATGTTGATGTTTAGGGAACAGTATTAGGATTGATTAATGACATGAAAGAAAGGATTTTATTATTTATTTATTATTTATTATTATTATTATTATTAAATTATTATTTTGTCTCTGGACTGGATTGATTGTGGCTAACAACAGCTGCCTTTTTCTGAAGCTAAAAGCCTGATTATAAACTGCCTTATATGAGGACCCTGTGATTTTCGGTGTTAATAGAGATATTATTTTAAGGAGATAAATACCCCTTTACACAGTACTTTTTTGATGAATTTACTATTCATTTAGTAGTTTAAACCACAATTACTAATCTTTTTACTGCAGTATTCAAACCTACATGCAACTAATAACCACTGTTGAAAGTACTATCAATATGATGATATACTACTTCTTTATAGTATCTCCTATAATTAATATGTCAATTATAAATTTAACATTTGAGTACAAAAAAACTCTCCAATATAATGTTATTTGTTGTGCTAAATTTTTCATATGCTATACTTTATGATAAATTTCTAACCAAGTATAGCATATGAAAAATTTAACATTTGATTACTATTGGTTGAAGTGTTTACCTTTTTTTCATGTAATCAATGCAACATTTTCAATTTCTAATTATTTTAAAAATAAAAGTTTACTTTTACAATTTTCAAAGCTTAATAGTTATAAGAAAAAGTATATTTAACATTTTAAATAGCATTATACATTGGAGTAAAAATGAAAATAACATACTATATTATAATTTTTGATGCTAAATATACAATTGGCATTAGCATTTATATTGAAGATGGTTTTATATATCAATGTAACATTTATTTTATTAGTAAATGAAAATTTTCCGTTAAATTTTTTTAATATTTATTTTGTTTTTTTAATTATATTTATTTGTTTTACATTGATAGAGTGATACTATTCTACACCAACAGTAAAATTTAGGACTAATTTCAAAAATTTCCTCCGAACTATAACTATTTTAACACTTTACCCCCCGAATTTTAAAAAGTAACATCCGTTCCTCTCAAACTTTGTTCCGTTAACAAGTTTTCTCTTTCTGTTACAATGAGTGACATAATTCACCACGTGTCAGGCGCATGACTCATCTGAGGATAGTATTATCGTAAATTAACCTGCAACAACCCTTCCAAGCGTTAAAGAAAGAAAACCTATATCTTGAACAACATAAAGATTAGGAAAAATAAAGGAAGAATAATGAATCCAAGACGGAATCATCGGAGTTGAAAGGCTCCAGACAGATACTGCAAGAGTCTTCTTCGAAGTTGTCGTCGGAAGGGGACGGCGATTGCGATGAAGACGAAGATGAAGTTATGATCGCCATTGAATTTTCTGCATAACCAGAAGAAGATGAAGACGAAAAAGAAGTGAAAGCCGCCATTGAAGAGTGAAAGTGAAGGAGTGATATGCAATGTTGAAGAGAGAGAGAGAGAGAGAGAGTTTATGGAAGAGAGAAGAAGTAGAAGGGAGGTGAAGAAGAAAGGAACCCTAGTAAAAGTGGTAGGGAAAGAGAAAGTGAAGATGATGGTCAAAGAATATATGATGAATTTTTTCAATAAAAATGGGAAATTATCATATTATGAGGGTATAAGCGTAATTGCGTTTTTAATTCTCACTAAATAAGTGACACGTGACAATTCCATCACTTATTGTAACAAAAAGGGAAAACTTGTTAACGAAATAAAATTTGGAGAGAACATATATTACTTTTTAAAATTTAGAGGGTAAAGTGTTACAAGAGTTTCTCGAGAAATTTTTGAAATTAATCCTAAAATTTATTATATCACAATTGATAGGGGTAAGGAGAGTATTGTCCAATACTAATCCAGCGTCAGTGTACAATTTTTCTTACAATTTCTGTTGGCTTTACCGAGTTGTTAGAATCAAATGGTTTGGGTGACGATCCTATTTACTGGATCTCTATCAATTTCAACTTAGTGTCTTTTGTTTCTTTCTTTTCTTTTTTCATTTTGTTTGGTCCCCTTCACCAAAGAATCAGATATTCGCACTTTCGAGCATCTTCTTCTCAACCAACAGTTCAAAATTTAGAGTTACCTTTTTTTTTCGTATAGACAACCAATTTCATACCTAAAGATTGCATTTGCAGGTATTCTGAACTTCCGGAAAAGACTTTGATTATTACATCTCAATCAAATAGCTTTACTTTTTATTTATTGTTTCTTATTTTCACAAAATACTCGGAATATGCCCCTGCAGAAGAATGAATGATTGGAATCTGAAATACAGTTAAAAAGGATTTACTTCTCTCCATCTCAGCTATTTTTGCCTTAAAATTGTATGGACAGATAAATGGTTTTGCTTTTTATTAGAAAGCTTGCACGTCATAACACAATCAATGACTTATGTACCCCTTTGTAGTTGTTCTAAATGACAATTGCATTCCACTGGTGGGATTAGTTTATTCCTTCTATAAGCGCTGGATGGCGGTGTAAGGACACAATCAATCCCCCTTTTTTTACTACGAAAAAGAAAAAAAAAATGAACCTTTCCGAAGGCAATTCATCAAGGAAAACAAGAGCTCAACGATGCAAAAGAAAACCGGATAAAAACAGCACAAAACAAATAATAAGCAGCAATGACATTACAGTCCCATCTTATTATCGTGATCAAGTGTTTCAAGATCAAAATCTGGAGCAATACACCATTACTATATTTCTTGCATATCAAGTTCAAAATTGGCTAATCTAGAAAAATATATTACAGAACACCTTCATGAAAAGAATTAACAGAAATATATTTCAGTTCTCCAAGTGAAGATTGATCAGTGATTTCAAAAAAAAAAAAAAAAAAAAAAAGAGAGAAAAAAAGAAAGATAATCTAGAGAAAACAATCATACAAGAATTGCCTATTATTTGTACACCAAAACGATAGCAAGATGACTATCCCTGATGTCCCCACCTCAGCTCTAGCCCAAGAATTAGATTTGAGAAAAAAAAAAAATTAACAATGATAATTATAAACAAAGTGAACCCCCTTCCTACAGCCACATAAAACACTTTTGATAAGCCCACAAACCTCCCCAATGAACAGGTTGCTGAGAAAAAGGCAAACAAGAAGAATTCGAACAAAATCTTCATTTAATCATCGTCCTCTGAATCTGTAGACAAATTAGGAAAAAAAAAAAAATCAGTCACAAGAAGAAAGATGAAGTTCACAGTACTTCAGTAAATACACGAGTATTAATCAGCCAAATCAACTTCCAATCCCCATATCTCCCACCGAAAGTGAAATAGCATCCATGACAAGTAACTATACAATGGTTAATACGACATATTACTCTTTTCACTGAATATTTCCTAAAACTAAGTAGGAGTTCACTTATAGCATGTACTCTTCTGCAGGCAAAAAGAGTGGGAGTTGTTGGATAATTCTTTTGATTTAAAATTTCCAACAACTACCTAAGCAGTTACTGATACCTAAGCAGTTACACTGACCTTTGAGGTGATGTATACTGTCAACCTAAAAACTACTTAATCACGCATCCATATTAATAACGGTAACTTTTCGAAAGGAAAACCGCTAAAAAATGCTCCTGGAGAGAGTGAGAGAAACAGTCTTAAAAACATGACAACATGCTACTCGATTTATATTCCTAATTGCTTACCAGATCTAATATCTTCTCCAACTTTTCCTCTATTTTTTAGCTGTCTTCTGATCATTGAACATATGAGCACCCACCAGTATATATGGAAAACAAGCAGCATAAGTAACATAGTATTGAAAACGTAGTAGGTGAATCTGTAAAAGGCCTCTGATGGCGGCATGAACTCACAAAGGTGATAGAAAAAAAAAAAAAAAAAAAAAAAAAAAAAAAAACCACATAAGTTAATATAAACCAACCACTTTACATATAATGTGGTATTACAAAAAGTTTTGTCACAGGGCAAACCTTGACGACTTTATGACCCAAAACGGAAAAAATATTAGACGTAGTACGAGCCATGAAAAAGCAAAACATCCAAAGAACACACTTGCTGCAAGCTCCTTTTCTGAATATTTGAAAACCTTTGCAGCCTCCATAAACACATCACTTGCGTCATGCAGGGCAAGGACAATTGAGCCTATGCGGAAAAACCTGTAATGGGACAATTTATTACCTCTTTTATCACAGGAATTTTCCTTGTAAATTTTATCTAGCATATCTTAAATTGATTTCATCCAGTAGAAAAATAAATTGAGGGAGAGACGGTGCATGATTCATGAGGGTCCAGTTCACTTTGAAAATTGTATTATCCTGTAATAAATGTACTCATATACACTTCAAAAATCTGGCAGAAAGCCTCTTAACTATGGAAGCCATTCTCAGATCAAGTGGTATCAACAGTCAGCACAATATAGAGCAACTGATATCATTATCAACATTTTATATAGCAAATGAAGTCAGAATTGATACTTCACACTTCACAGACCCAGAAGTTTAGGCTAACATGACACCGCGTATAGCTGCAGCCAATCTAAGTTACAAAGCGTTGGAAAAGAAAACTGCAAGATATAGTGACCACAGGTCCAGAAACTTGCACATCATCATGCCACTAAAAACAACTATCTGGAAGCACAATTAAGACTGCTACATAATACGAATGGTAAATTCCTGGGTATATGGATAAATACTCATGTCCGATTTTTAACAGTCAAGCAGGAAGGTGCAATAGAGATAAACGAATATGATTTCAGGTCGGAACAAATCCAATTACTATAAGCAAAGTGCAAAAGCATGACTAAGGATATCATTCTGCTTAATGTATTCACGGAGCTGGAAACTGTTAATAGTTGCTAAGAGATCCGTAACAGACATGAGCATAAACGCAAGTTCTTATATTGACCGGGAAATCGAAGTGGCAATGCTAATTATTTATACGTAAACAAGCCTGGATTTAATCCCTATATCCATATGAATTATAAAACATCTCACAACTATAGTTGTACAAGATATTTAAATTGAAAACATATAAACATCCCTCAGAGTAAAATTTCATCACTGCTCAAAGAAGAAGCAGGACTCTAGATAAAGAAAATGCTAAAAATGCCAACATAATCAACCTGCCTGAGAATCTATATGATCATTTTAGGCCAATATTACATCTCATGACAACAAACACTAAAACGCTTTTGTAACGCTAAGGTTATACCTGTAATTTGCAAGTTACTTCGTCTGTAAAAATTAAAAGCAAATATAATGCTATAATAGTATATTTATTTCTTACATCCCAACAAATAGTAAAAATCTATTTGTTAAACACAAAATTTTAAGAGAAAGGCAGCTCATAATTGCAGGCATAGTCAAGTAACAAATCCAGACCCACCTCATAGTCAAGTAACAAATCCAGACCCACCTCAATATTGAGGTAGTTCGAAATCCCCACCCCCAAGACTCGAGGCATGGACTGGAGATCCATAAAATTTATTTCTCAGGATCCCAAGACACAAAAACCAACAAGCTATTAACAAATAGAGTTATGTGTCATTCTGTATGAGTTGCAACTTTATAGCACTTGCATAAGACATGAAAGAATACCTTGTAAGGTATGAGTAACCAATCAGGATAACAGTTATTATGTGATGGGACATCATCACTGCGAAATCCTTCCTTCTAGTCTCCCAAGCAAGGAGAGCAGCAATACTATAGATGTAGAATCCACATTGGCACATATAGAAAAGCTTTAGTGGAAGCCTGAAATTAAGAAGAACAAAAAAAGGATCAATTTGAGTATTTTATGCAGTTATCAATTTGAGTATTTTAAAAAGTAACATCCGTTCTCCCTGATCTTTGTTCCGTTAACAAGTTTTATCATTCTGTTACAATGAGTGACGGAATTGTCACGTGTCACTTATTTAGTGAGAATTGAAAGCGCAATTACGCTTCCGGATCTAGTGGTTTATAATTTTGTCAATGCCCAACTACATTCACTAGCTAAATCATTGAAAACATGCAGCAACACATATACCTCCACAAATCTAACAAAACATGCAATTGCCCTAAAAACAGAAGAGAATGTATTTTAACCGTCTTCTCTTGCATAATAATACCTCACAAGATGAGTTCTTATATAATGTCAGCATATCTTTAAAAGACAGAAATAAAGCGAGCCAAAAGCATTCTTTTCTATGCGCTCTTTCCAATTTAAAATAAAATGTATGCAGAATAGCTGATGCAACACAGCCATGCTCAACCATTTAACAGAAGAAATAGGGTTCATCAGCCAACAAGTAGCGTTCCCTGTTCCCAGATGCATATTACTCACTTTAACTCCTGATCTGGCCAGCCTCTGAAGTACTCTTTGGTATCTCCGAACCACGGCTCGTTATAGGTAATTTTGAGAATGTATGCTTCAACACTAGCATAGTATGTCAACTTCCACATTGACTCGGAGCATTTTACAATCTTTGCTCGCCTAGCGTCATTAATCTTCAATGGAACAGATCCATTACTCAACAACCAGGTGGCCACCCTCTGAGATGAAATAGAGAAAAAAAAATTCTGGTAAGTAATAGCAAGTGAACAACAAATCGACTGTTCATTATGTTCTGATTTCCTGTTCTTTCCAAAAACAAGTTTGATGGGCAAAGCATCGATGGTCAAAATCAGGAATATCACAGCAACAGAAATGCTACATATACAGTCAAAAGTATGATTTGTGTAGTTGCATTTGTATCACTGAGAATTCATTCGTCCATCATTCTTGGACAACAATAGGCCATAACCTATGACAAATAATTCTTTTCTGATCTCGGAGCCCAAAACAGGGCCGTACTCAGGGCACACTACTCATCATCAAGTCGCCAACGGTTTTCCACGTTGGTTTACTTTAACCAAAATTCTTATTTATTCGACATATAAGGCACGGTTGGAATTCATTTCAAAATGATTTTGTCTTTTGTATGAAAATGAAAATGAAAACGTTTTCAATGTTAGACAGAAATTATTTTTAAAAATGCATTTGGTAGTTTTATCAAGAGATTATTTTCAGTATAAAAAAACTCATTAATGTCTCTCTCTCTGCTCGAGAGAGGAGAAAACGAAAATAAAAAATGAAAAACGACTAAAAGTTATTTTTCATTTCTCTCATTTTACACTAAACTAAAAAATCATTTTCATTTTCCTTTTTTGTCTTTATTGCGCCAAACGCTGTTTAAAAACATTTTCATTTTTTTTTTTTGAAAATCGTGAAAAATAAAAACGGGATCCAACACGGCCATAATTTCTTGTCCTCTTCGTTATTACATCAAGATTCTGTCTCGTAATCAACAACTCAAATCCTAAAATCGCCCTTGGATCACAGCAATGTAAATTTCTAATTTCTATCTCCAAGGAAGCTCAAAATCACGCTAAATTCCCTCCAACACTGTCTAATTTAAGGGCAAAAATACCATTTTATAAAATCCCGTGATTCTCAAACTTGTAGATGTCATAACATGAAGTAAAAGAAAACAAACACAACCTTTTCACGCTTGAACTAAGCCGACAACCTTAAGAAAACCAAAAATAAAAATAAAAATAAAAATAAAAATAAAAGTAAATCGTAAGAATAAATCTGATCCAAAATTCCTAACTATGAAAGCAAATGAGAACGGGATACAGATATAATTAAAGGTGCTCTTTTCCTTTTCCATTCACATTTTATGACAAACGAACATAGGGAAAAAAAAAAGTTAGGCATGAAAATAGAAGATACGGACATTCAATAAACGTCAAGGGAATTGCGATCTAAATGCATAAAAGAATCTTACGCGAAAGATGAATCTGTCAAGGAAGAACCTGGCGACGACGAAGCTGAAGGCGAAGTAAACGGCGACGACGAAATGCCAAGCGATCTGCTCGCCATTGTAGCTCCAGATCGACTCCATGTGAGGCCTCGAACCACGATCGGAGTCACACGCATCAAACAATTGCTCGGCCACCAAAAACGACTCAAAATGCTTCAGAATCAGCAAACGAAACGAGAAAACTGTCCCCGATTATCTTCCATTCACCAACAATCAGAGAGATCTAAAAAAATTTGCCCTAATTCTGTTATCGGAGAAGAAGAAGAAGAAGAAGAGAGAAAAAAGGAAGGAACTATGGAGTTTGGGATTTGAGAGACAAAGTGGGAAAAGGAAAACGAGAATGAGATCTTAGGCGGAGGAGATGTCTTCTATAATTATATTCTTATTATTTAACAAATCATCGAGAGAGCTGCGTAAGGCGGGGACTTTTCTTTTTTTCTTTTTTTCGTTTTTTCGTTTTTTTTTTTTTTTTTTTTTGTTAGTGAGATGCGAAAGGTTTTATTTTATTTTATTTTTATTTTTTGGTAAGTGAGATGCGAGCTTGGATCCAAGAGAATATGGTAATGGGTCCCACATAAGGTCACATTCTTGTGTGACAATTTGTAGTCAACAATGTCCACTGGTGGGTGTGGTGGCATTCTTAGCGTACGTTCCTTTCTAGACTCAGTGCGTTTAGTTAATCCGTGTTATGATTCGTATCATAATTCATGATTTATTACAGTATTTTTTTTTCATAAAAAATACATATAAATTAAGAATAATTCTGAATTATAATTCTAAATCTATCAACTAAATATTAGTGTTCTTGAATTTAGTATATGAGAGAAAATATTATAATAAAAAAATTAAATTTAAATTATTATAAGAGAAAATATTGTAATATAAAATTTTAGTTCTGATTTGAATTAAGTAAAAGAACATGCCCTTAAATTTTGATTTGAAGAAACTACTTTGAAAGCACCGCTATTCCAATTTTCTTGGAAAGATTCAAATTTTCCCCACTATTATAGAAAGTCAAAAATTGAATTTATGCGAGAAAAATAATGTAATAAAAAAAATAAATTTAAATTTTTTTTAGAAAAAATACTATGACAATCGACATAAATTATTTAATAAATTATTGACGACAAGAAAATATGCCTAGATAATTGCACATTTGTTGGTAAAAACACACTCTCAATACATAATAGAAAAATAAATTGAAACAAAAATAACAAAAAAATAGAGAAAAAATTTATGTGGTTCGAAAAAATTTTCTACATCCATAAAAGAGGGAGAAAAATTCACTAACAGTTACAGAATTACACACTCAATAAATTTTCTCTCTCTATCTAAAACCCATTACACCATTATTTATCTCTCTCTTCACTTTTCTCTCTCTTGCAAAAGGAGGCAGCATGTCTCTACATTTTTTTCTGAGCACACACATAAAGCCTTACACAAAAAATTTATTTATAGACTCCTAATAAACCATAAAATAACCCTTGCCCAAAAACTAAAAATAATGACTTACCAAAAAACACAAAATAATAACTTTTTCAAACCCAATTTGAGTCACTTACCTAACAATCTTCACCTTGACTCAAATTATCTCAACTCACTCAATTGGGTCTCCAATCTCGACAGTCGTCATAGCACTGATGCTGCAAACTTCAACAAGAATAAACATGTGTCAAATTCAAACTCTCATCAAACTTGACATGAAGAACTGTCTTCTTCTTCAAAGCATCTTTAGTGTTACAGGTTTTCACCATCTTGCCTTTATTGTCTTTAATTGTTATCAACATCTTATTGCACTTTTTTACTCCTATAACTTCTTTCATAACAGAAGAAGACTTTTCTTGGCATGGTTCCTCCTTCATAGCTCCACCTACTACTGTTGTCCCGACTTCTGATAAGCTTATACAAGTTTTTTACTTTTTCACCCTTCATGGCTACTAAATCACCTATCTTAACTAGCATAAAACCACCTTTTACATAGTACTCACAACCTAAAGTGTCCAAAGCTCCAAAAAAAAAAAATCAAACTTCTCCTTAGTTGAGAAACATGCATAATATTTGTCAATATCTTCACAACTCCATCAAACATGTTCACCTTCACAGTACTTATTCCAACAGCTTTAGCACTAGAATCATTAGCCATCAATAAAGTACCAGCATCACATGGCTTATAAGAATCAAACCACTCTTTATGTGGACACATATGAAACGAGCATCCAGAATTCAAGATCTAAGACTCAAAAATATTTCCATCAGCAATAACAGAATAAACATACTTGTCACCAACAACATTTGCAGAATCTGAAGTTTCTTAGGGTTCTTGCTTTCTTCTTTCTTCTAAATGCTTCATCAGTTCTTCACAGTTTCTCCTAATATGTCCCTTCTTATGACAATAATAACACTCAATATCCTTCTTTGAGCGGGACTGGGAAGAATTATCTCTCTTATCATAATATCTCCCTCGCGACTGGCTCCTTCCCCTATCTGAATCTGACTTCGCCACTAAAACTTGTTCATTATGAGATGTAGTACTAGGTTTTTTCATATTTGCACTCTCTAACAGAGCAGTCGACACCTGATTAACGCCCAAAAGTGATGTTCACAAGCAGTCAATTGTAGCACTAGAGGGCAGTCGTATCCACAGAGAGATAACAAAATAACAAGAATGACTAACAGAATAAGAGCGTTAGAGAAAAGTGAATTAAAGAAAAATGAGAGTTTTTGAGATTTTTGTTGCAAATAAAATAAAAAGGAGAAAATCTATATGAAGAAAATGGTAAGGTGTTGAGAATCCCTAATGCTTCGTTCACCAATTCAAGTTTTGATTCACAAAATAAAAGAATCGAATAAATTAAATCTCTATGTTGGCTCAGAAAATATTATTATTACAAGTTATCCAAAATCGACAATATATCAATTTGATAATATTGCATTAAAAGACAATTTGTAAAATAATTTGAATGACAAAACAATGCATGACAGAATTACATAAGAAAAGCGTGACTTAACTTATATAAAAATTGGCACACAATATTTTGAAAAGTAATAAAAAAATAGATGAGATTTAATTCATTCAGATGTTGAACTTTATAGCACAAGGAATCAAAACTCTAAATTGGATCGCTCAACAGAAGTTCATCTCTAACCTCACTAAGAGAACTCTAGCCCAGCTTGCAAAACATTCTCACAAGTTCTAGAGAGAAAATATGAGACTGACAGCAAGATGACAGAAAATTGAATATTCAAAAGCTTTTTAAAACCTTAGGCCAACCCCTCTATTTATAGTATTCAGAGGTTGCCTGTCAAATAAGGAAATAAATAGTAAAATTACAAAATTACAAAAGAAAATGAAAGAAAATTAAATTACACATAAATTTGGATAAATCATATATTTGATTTAGAGAAGAAATCTGGTAATTTGCTCTAATTTTTGGGGAAGAAATTCAGATTCATCTAAAAGGGGACACGTGTCGAAGCTTGGATGGAGGAAGGGAATTGATTGCCACGTGTTGCACGCGGAGTGGGCGGACGGAGCTGGCGTTGGTCAGAGCAAGGGACATGTTGACAGCTGGCGCACATTCATTGGGAGGTCGGGCTGGCATCACAGGTGTGGGACCTATGCAGAGGGAAGCTTGGACGCGCGCTGATGGCTGCATGGAAGGAACGCGCCCTGTGAGGTGCAGCGTGCTAGTGACGCGCGAGGCGTGAGATGGCGAGAAGAAACGGGCGCAGATTCCTGCGCTGAGTGGTGGGGCCCACGAGTTGATGTTGGCTCGGCTAAGCTGCTCGGCTCTCTCTCTCTCTCTGATCGGCTCGCATAAAAGGCTTGGCTCCGACTGGTTGAAACTTGAAAACATGACTTTCATAGCTTATTTTTGTGTAGCTTTTTACACTGCTTTTTATCTGTAAATAATTAAGCAAAAACTAGACAAATTCTAATTAAAAATATTATGAATAAAAATGATGGAATTGTTTAATTAAAGCTTAAATATTTTAATATTAAATAAATCAAAAGCAGTATTTAGGGTGCATTTTCATGCACTAATCAACACCTCATCTACAGTCAATGTCATCTTTTCAACTAAAAGTGTAGTCACCAAAACCTCATATGATTTAGGTAGGGAGGCCAATAAAATTACCGCTTTATTTTCTTCATCAATTTTGACCTCTACACTTAACAATTGGGTTATGCACTTAATTAAAATTATTTGTATGATCCATAACATCAGTTTCCTCATTCATCTTCAACTCATACAATTGCTTCTTCAAATATAATCTATTTGTTAGGGATTTTGACATATTAACTTTTTTTAATTTTTTTCATAACTCATAAGGAAATGTTTCATTCATAACACTATATCAGGAGCCAAACTTAAACGAATAATGTTTACTGCTTTCGCTTCCAATTCTTTCCAATCTTCATCTTTCATATTTTCTGGCTTCTTTCCTTGCAACACTTTCAGTAATCCCTGCTGAATCAGAACATTTTTAACCGTACTCTACTAGATGTTGAAATTACTCTTTCCATCAAACTGGTCTCAAATTTTATCCTAGACATCATCTTGACCTCTTTTTTTTTTTTCTTTTAATCTTCACCACAGCTTTGATACTATTTGTTAGGGAAAAAATGCCCTCACACATACGCAGCAGAAAAATAAATTGAAATAAAAAATAATAGAAAAATAGAGAACACAAAGATTTAGGTGGTTCGGAAAAATTTTCTACATTCATGGAAAATGGAGAAAAATTCACTAACAGTTTCAGAATTATACACTTAACAAACTTTCTCACTTTCTCTCTCTATCCAAAACCCCTTACACTATTGTCTATCTCTCTCCTCACTTTTCTCTCTCTCAAAAAGAGGCACTCCGTCTCTACATTTTTTTCTGAGCACACACATAAAGTCTTGCACAAAACACTTATTTATAGACTACTAATAAACTATAAAATAACCATTGCTCAAAAACTGAAACCAATAACTCACCAAAAAATACAAAATAGTAACTTTTCTAAAACTAATTTAAGTTACTTACCTAACAATATTTGAGAAAATTCTATTATACTCATAGTAGATTAGGGAAAAAATGTTGAAAATAGACATTTGAAAACATAATATTTGATAATGAATAAAAACATAAATGGATAGAAATATGAGTTTCAATGTGGCTGCGTTTGCGTGTATGTGAAAGAGAGTGTGCAGACAACTAAGGCAGATTTATAAAAAAAAAA